CGTCATAGGGTCTCAAAATTTAAAGGCCTCAAACTTTAAAAGATATCATGATTTTACTTCTAAGAGTGTTCGAACAATAACACCTAGTCAGCTTATTACAACTGATTGCTTTTGCATACTTAATATCTTCTGCAAAATTGTAGCTCAACTGATAAACCTGTTTGGGATTGTTGGTAGCATTACTAAATATTCTTGCATTTCTGTTTTTCCATAATCCCTAAAAAAGGGTAGAAAAAATAATTCCCCAGTTCACTCCATTTTGGTCCATCTTTTTCGAGATGCAATTGACTTTTAGCCAATCTTTGAACTCTCTGTTTAGGAAATTATAATCGAAGTTAGAGGCTTTAGCTTCATTCCATACCTCATATGCTTTATGGCATTTTCTTGCTATATGTTCGATTGTTTCCACTGTGTCTTCACCATTCTTAGCAATTCAATTCCTGAGTCATGTGTTTCCTTCCCTTGATCTCATTGGTATTTAATCTATTTAGCCAAACAAGCCATAGAAAGAATCTCACTCTCTCTAATGTATCAACTTTCCAAATCCAACCTAGATTTTGACTAGGTTGGGTTGCATTCCTACTCTCACTTATCATCTTGAACACTGAACTAATAGAGAAGTTACCATCTTTAGAGTGACCCCTACTTACCTTATCCTAATTGGTATAATGATTCACCATGGGCAATGAGATGATGCGGATTTTGTTGACTGTCTCATCTGGGATGATTTTCTGTAGTTCTTTTAAATCCCACATTCTGTCTTCTTTTATGAATTTATCCATCATTACCTCCGAATCCTCATTGTTATTGTGTTGTTGATATTCAAGCTCGAATTCCCTACCTACCAATCATTCCAAAATCTGGTTTGACTGCCCGAGTAGATGACGTGTTTTGTTCCTCTTTTGATCACATCACTTGTTTTAAGAATTCCTTTTCATGTAGAAGACGCAGCTTGATCATTCTGGTATTCATGAAGTTTGACCTTTTAAGGTATTTCTCTTTAAACAACTTACACTAGAGATAATTTTGATCAGTCCATAAGTTCCATCCGTTCTTTGACATAAGAGAAAGATTCATATCTTTCAAACTCCTAATCCCAAGACCTCCTTCCACTTTCGATCTACAAACATTTTCCCACTTCACTAGATGATCATGGGAATAATCTGTACCTCCACCCTAAAGGAAATTTCGGTTCAATCAATCAAGCTTATTTTGAATCACTTTTGGGATAATAGTGGTCTGCCTAATGTGAACAGGTAGCGCAGCTGTAACCGATTGAATTAAGGTTTTTCTTCCAGCCATAGCTAGGACCTTGCTTTTCTATCCGGCCATTCGTTTCAAGACTTTTCCTACTAGGGGAGCGTAGATGTTATATGACGCTCTCGTATGAACGATAGGCACTCCCAGATAAGTTTCGAGCTACTCAGTTCTTTTTATACCACTTATATGGCTGAGCCAATTGGCTGTTATTGAATTTAGGTTCTTCGATGTGAACATGCTAGATTTTTGAAAATTTATTTCCAAACCCGCAGCTAGACTAAACGTCCTTAGGCACTCCTTTACAACCCGCATTTGCTCATCGGAGGCTTCTACAAACAACAATAAATCATCTGCAAAAAAACAAGCGACTAATATTAGTTCCACCTCTTGTGAGTTTTACGGGTTTCCAAATTTTGTTATGGACTGCTTCTAAGATTAGACGAGATAGTCGCTCCATAATTAAAATAAAGAGAGGGGGATAAATGATCCCCCTGTCGTAAGCTTTGTTGCGGTTGGAAATTTTCAGTTTTTTTCCCCATTCCAGAGAATTTCAATAGAGTTATTCTTGATGCATAACATGATGATACTAATGATATCTTGCGGGAAATTAAAGATGATGAGAGTTTCTTCCAAAAAATCCCAATTAACATTATCGTAGGCTTTGTGTAAATCGATCTTTAAAATCGCAACCCTTTTCTACCCTTTAAATTTGAAAGGGTATGGGCAGCCTTTTAAACAACAAGAATATTGTTCGATGTACCTCTTCCATGAAGGAAAATGTTCTGAAAAGGACCCACTAGCCTTTGAATGACCGATCTAATGCGGCTGACAAGAATTTTAGCAAGGATCTTGTAGGAGGTGTTTAGTAAGCTTATAGGGCGAAAGAGCGAGATTTTGTCTGCATTATCCGTCTTTAGGATTAACACTTGATAAGCCTTCACAATATCTGAATCAATAACCCTTGTTTTAAAAGCCTCACTGACACAGTTTAACACCGTATCCCCAAAAACTTCCCAATTCTGCTTATAGATGATGGGTTGGATTCCATCGGGACCCGGAGCTTTTAGGTTTTTCATATAGAAAAGAGTCGTACCAACCTCCTCATTTGACACAATTTTAGCAATTTCCTGCTTCTCTGAACACATTGTAGTAATCCCCAAAGGAACCACCTCTTTACTGGAATAGAGCATTTTATAGAGATCTACAATATGGTCGACGGCTGTCTTTTTATCAGACACCCAACTACCAATTAATAAGGAGACCCTAAATTATGTTCTGTTTACGTCTGATTTGTGTCATAAGATGGAAGAATCTTGTGTTTCGTTCCCAGTCAATTATATATTTTTGAAGCCAGAGAAGCTCTTCCTTATTCAAAATATGTTGATACTCTGACTGTAAGTTCTTTTCCATATGTTGTAATATGGTAGAATTGGAATAATGAGGAGCTTTCTGAATCCCTCTCAATCTGTTTTGAATATTCCGTTTCTTAGCGAATATATTCTCTACAGCAGTATTTTTCCAGAGGCAAACATCCTTAGTAACTTCAACATTAGCTTCAACTATAGAGTGTTTCTTTCTCTCCCAAGCTTTACCGAACACTATTTTAAAATCAGGGTAATTTAACCAAATGGCCTCAAATCTAATTGGTCTTATACTGTTGTCAAAATGAATGCTATGGCCAGTCTCCATAAGAATAGGATGATGATCCGAAAATTGTCTGACAAGGTTAGTGATTTGAATATTAGGGAACATTTCAACCGAGTTCGCGTTGTACGAGGCTCTATCCAGCCGCTCTTGAATGGTTACTTGCCCCGTGATCTGTCTGACCCAGTTGAATTTATTTCCCGAGGATCCGACATCCAAGAGGTTACAACTGTCCCATCTGTCCCATAACTTAATGATATGATCCATGCAAATTACAATGCCTCCTTTTTCGCTCGGGGAAGTGATATCGTTGAAATCGCCAATAACGATTCAAGGCTTGTTAACTGTAATAGAGTATATTTCTAACTCATTCCAGAACTCAGATTTTTTGTTTTCATGATGTTGCACATACACGAAAGAGATCAGCCAATTCCTACTTCCCTCTTCAATACCACAATGAACAGCTTGATCCGTATTACTTCTGACGTGCAACTTGATCTGGCTCCTATTCCAGAGAATAAAGGCTCCTTCACGCATACCATGAGCTGTAACTTCATAGCAGTTCTCAAACTTTAATTTCTTTTGAATAGTTTTACCAATTCCTGAAGCATATTTGGTTTCTAACAGGCTAACAATATCATGTCTCTCTTTTTTAACATCTTTTCAATTTCTGAGAAATTCTCTATTCTCGATACCCCTACAATTCCAAGAGATGATCTTCATTGGAGAGTAGTGTTTTCTTTTACTGGTTCCTAGCACTCAGGCATATTAATATCTAGAACTTCCGCCATCGAGACATTCACTTCTAAATTAATTGGCTTCACTTGGATGATAACCCCTGTATCTTCAGAATAGGTTTAGATTTTTCTATTTTCCTCCCCACTCGATGTGTGCATGTCCTTTTTTTCAAGGGAGGAAGGGATATCCTTTTCCAAAGGGGAGTTACTGCCGAACTTGTTGTAGTTCTTGTGCCTGATACCCTTCGGATTTATCCCCAGTCTTGGATTTCTTTGTTTAGACTTACTATTGATTGAAGAATTACACTATTTAGAGCAATTGGTAATGTCTCTTTGTTTTGTAGATTCTGAAATTGGTAGTTTACCTAACATTTTCTTGCTTAGCTGAGCTGGCTGCACCACTCTGTTTGCTTCCTCTAGGTCTTCTGTTAGATCTGTTTTCAGTGTTGCCCAGATTTTGTCCCTTATTTTTATTAATGTTGGAATTTTTCGGTGACGCTTCTTCACTTAGAGCCGCGAACCTATTTCCTTGTTCCCATGATTGACTTGTCTTTGTCTAAGCTAGAGAATTACCTTTTATAGACTTCTGTCTTCTTTGGACTAACATCCATGGTCCATATTTATCCTCTCCTTGATTTTTAATAACTCCCGATTTGTCTGTCGAAGAGTCCTGATTTTGAGGCTCATGTTGTTGCTTGGGAGAGTTAGCTTCAATCTCTGTCACTCGGTTTTTCTCCTTGATTTTCACAGGGCACTGATCTGTCTGGTGACCCACCATCCCACGGTAAAAACATATTAAGTGAATACCCTCATATTCTATGTTCAGAACCAATTTACCCACTCTTACTTTTGAAAGGAGTGGTTTATTTAGATCAACTTCGACACACATTCTAGCGAACTTTCCTCTGGTAGACCAAGCCGTCCTATAATCCACTTTAATCGGTTTTCCCAACATCTTCCCAATGTTGACCAATATACCTTCGTCAAAATATTCAATTGGGGGTCCTGGGATATGAATCCAACCCGCAGTAGAGGCAATATATACACCTTTTCAGCCAGGAAATCAGGTCTCAATTTTTGTACTGTCAAGTAATGATCCATTATTTTCCATGGGCCTTCGGTAAGAACTTTAACTCCTCCATTTTTATTTTGAAATTTAATGGCGAAAAATCCATTTCCCAGATCGATACGGTCAAAAATTGCCTTGTAATTTCCACATTATCGTGATTCTTGAAATGAGAATTTTATAGGCCACAGACCTCCCTAAGAGTTTGATAATAAGAGCTTTTCTCCACGATTTTCTGATCTTTTCTTTCAATTCAGAGTTGATCTTTATTGTGGGTATTTCATCCTCTGCAGGTCCCTCTTCATTGTTAGAGTCTGGATCTTCGTCCTTAAGATTTGTCGAACTGATGAACATACATGTAAAGAAGGGAAAATACAAAACTGTATCTTTCCACGATCTTTCACTATTCACCAATGTTGTCGTATCTTCTCCCTCGGAGGGTCTGAATCTCTTGTTACCTATATTAATGTCATCCATACTTGCTTCCGCCTGGTTCACCATGGTGACCGTCGGGTTAACCGCCTCCATACAAAAACAGCCTCAAGAACTAAGGCTGGAGAAAACATAATCTTGAAAGGTGTTTTTTTTTTTTTGAAGTTTTGTGTTTAAATAGTTATATCTATAGGATATATATACGTTATTAATGAAAATTATGAATAAATATTATATTAGAATCACTTGATATTATTAAAATTGAATTAATAATCTACACAAATTAAATTAATATTTATAAATAATTAGAAAATATAATTAAATTATTTTAAAATCTAAAAATTAGTATAAAATAAGAGAAAATCGCCTCAGTGACAAAAAATGCCTTATAATATACGATTTTAACCAACTTTTTTTGGATTTGCCAAAATGACCAACAAAATCGCAACGCGAAATAAAAATCGCAACGCGATCCCCAGAATCGCAAATCAGTTTCCAAAATCGCAACGCGATTCTTGAAAATCGCAATGCGATAGTACAAATTCGCATTGCGATTTTCCAGAATCGCAACGCGAACACATAAATCGCAACGCGTATCCGTAAACCGCAACGTGTATCCGTAAATAGCAACGCGTATCCGTAAATCGCAATGCGTATCCGTAAATCGCAACGCGTATCCGTAAATCGCAACGATAATCCGTAAATCGCAACTAGAATCTGTAAATCGCAACGATAATCCGTAAATCGCAACGAGAATCTGTAAATCACAACACTGAAATTTTGGGTATATAACTACGCAACAGCAGCAAATCATAAACTAAATCCCTAAATCGTAACTCATTCCATCTCCATCTATCACTCTCTCCGGCGACATCCGTTCCTATATCCAACGACATCCTTCCCAATCCGGCAACAGGTTTTAGTTTCGCAGCTCGTCTGTTTAGTAAATTAATTTACAACCATGAAATCATCTAATGTTGATCATGTTTGGATAGATTTGTGTTTTGGAGGGTCATGGGAGAATGTTCATGGTGTTTTACAATATATGCCTTTACCCATGAATCTTCAACTAAAATTGTCTTTACAAACGTTAACTTATGAAACTCTAATGCTACGTGTTTCAAAGAAATTGAATTTAGAGCCCCTAAGTGGATTTAGGCTATCTTATCAGAGAAATGGTAAAGTTTATTTGTTAACCGACAATGAAGATGTTGAACGATTCATTGCTTACATTAGTGTTTCACAAGATGATGTTACATTGTATGTTGTTGAACCTAGAAGTAGTACGCAACGCGTATCCGTAAACCGCAACGTGTATCCGTAAATCGCAACGCGTATCCGTAAATCGCAATGCGTATCCGTAAATCGCAACGTGTATCCGTAAATCGCAACGATAATCCGTAAATCGCAACGAGAATCTGTAAATCGCAACGATAATCCGTAAATCGCAACGAGAATCTGTAAATCGCAACACTGAAATTTTGGGTATATAACTACGCAACAGCAGCAAATCATAAACTAAATCCCTAAATCGCAACTCATTCTATCTCCATCTATCACTCTCTCCGGCGACATCCGTTCCTATATCCAACGACATCCTTCCCAATCCGGCAACAGGTTTTAGTTTCGCAGCTCGTCTGTTTAGTAAATTAATTTACAACCATGAAATCATCTAATGTTGATCATGTTTGGATAGATTTGTGTTTTGGAGGGTCATGGGATAATGTTCATGGTGTTTTACAATATATGCCTTTACCCATGAATCTTCAACTAAAATTGTCTTTACAAAAGTTAACTTATGAAACTCTAATGCTACGTGTTTCAAAGAAATTGAATTTAGAGCCCCTAAGTGGATTTAGGCTATCTTATCAGAGAAATGATAAAGTTTATTTGTTAACCGACAATGAAGATGTTGAACGATTCATTGCTTACATTAGTGTTTCACAAGATGATGTTACATTGTATGTTGTTGAACCTAGAAGTAGTATTGTTGGGTCAGTAGCGGGTAGTAATCAACTAAGTTTTTCTCAAAACCCACAACCTTTCTCTAATCCAAATCCCAATCAACTTTCAGCACCAAATTCCGGTTTTCGTATTGACCAGTTAGACGATGATGAGCCAACAGAAAAAATTGTGAGTACTAGTCAGTATTCGAAATTTGGTCTTGGTCAATATCCGGACTTTGATATTGGTCAATACACGGATTTTGATGACGTTTCAGAAGAAGAAACAGACCCTGCGTGTAATGATTTTGATATTGGTCAATACCCGAATTTTGATGATGAAACAACCGTTGCCGAAGAAGATATTATTGATGATAATGAGGAGGAAGTTACGACTGTGAATGAACATGTTGAACATCCATTCTGTAATTCATATAATCCTGAAGAAGAAAAAGAAGAAGAAAAAGTCCCCGAAGAAAAGAAAATGCCACGGGCGTATAACTGGAATATGCCAGAATTACTTCAGATACCGGAAGAAGAGTTGGTAAAGAAAGCAGTTGATTGTTACACAAAAGTTATTCGTATCAAGAAAGATGATTGTTTTGATACAAAGGAAGACTTGAAGATAGCTTTGTATACGAAATGTGTGGAAGATGGCTATCAACTAAAAGTTAACAAATCAAGCAAAGATCGTTTCGAAACAAGGTGTATGATTGACAAAAACTGTTCGTGGCGTATGATTGCAAAGAGAATAAAATATTGCGAAATGTTTCAAGTTAGGACTTTTATTGATAAACATACATGTTCAAGAACCCAAGTTTTTCCTCACCATAGACAGGCAAACAAAAAGGTGTTGGGTGGTTTTCTGGCTGAGTTAATGTTTTTGAATGGCAGGGTATATCGGGGACATGAAATTATGACTGACATGAATGCTCGGTTCAAGATTAGTATATCATATTCTCAAGCTTGGAGAGCCAAATGTTATGCCTTGGAATTGTTGAGGGGGTCGCCAGAAGCATCGTTTGCCCAACTGCCGGCTTATTGTCACAATTTAAAGCTGAAAAATCCTGGGTCGGTAACTCATATCAAAACAGATAGAGATGGACACTTTGAGTTGCTGTTTATCGCCATTGGTGCTACGGTTAGTAAATCAATATAATTTTGTTGACTCATTTTTGTTAGTTACATGCATTTCACATTTAAATGATTATATTTCTTGTGTATATTATTTTGTAGATTCGTTCGTTTATTACTTGCATGCGCCCAGTTATTATAGTTGACGGAGCACATTTGAAAGGTCGATACCTTGGAGTAAACTTATTAGCAGTAGCCATGGATGCTAACAATGGGATATTGCCAATAGCTTACGGGGTTGGCAAATCTGAAACCTCTGATTCATGGACATGGTTTATGGGGCATCTTAGGGATTGCATAGGTCCTATTAGCAATCTGACAATCATATCCGATAGGGCAAACTCAATTGACAACGCTGTTAGAAGGTGTTTCCCAGATGCTTTTCATGGACTTTGTGGTGTTCTTTTGTATAGAAATCTAAAATCAAGGTCTGCTGGTATAAAAAAGCACAAATGGACATACTGGAAGGCTGTAAAAGCTTATCGGGAAGTGGATTTCAATAAGCATATAAACTGTTTAAGACGTGTTTTGCCTCAGTGTGCTCAAACACTAGAAGATGTCGGGTTTGAAAGATGGTCAAGAGTACATCAACTTGGAGCAAGATATGGTTTCATGACGTCTAATAGTGCAGAATCAATCAACGCTCTAAGTCGTCATTCCCGGAAATTACCCATTACTATGTTAATGGAGTTTTTTCGAGCCTCTATTCAACAGTGGTACTACAAGAAAAGAAACCATGCAGGTATTATTTCTTTGAATTCGTAACTTATCATATTTATTTATATATTTTACTAAGTATTGTTTATTTAAATTTACAGGAACATTGGAACATCGTGTTACACCATGGACTGAAAAAAAGATAACGAAACGTGTTGTGAAGTCAACGTCATGGAGAGTTGAACCATGTTCAAACACTTTGTTTCAAGTACTGGATAATAACTTAAATGGGCTGGTCAATCTAAATGCAAAGATGTGTAGTTGTATGAAATGGCAAACATCTGGTTATCCGTGTGGCCATGTTATAAAAGTTGCTCTTCATTTAAACCAAGATGATTCAAGTGCATACGCTATGGATTGCTACACTACAGAAGTTTATCGACAGACTTATGCCGAGATTGTCTACCCTATTCCACATCCTTCTGAGTGGGACATACCAGATGACTTACAAACAGTTTTGCCACCAGCCATGGACAGAAGGCTACCTGGCCGACCAAAAAGTCACGATCGTATACCGTCTAAGGGTGAAGAGAAGAAGAGATCGACATGTAGTCGGTGCAAGGAAAGTGGTCATACAAGGTTGACATGTGGATCACCAGTGCCATCACAATCATCTTTTCCTCTACCAAAATATGGATCCTCATCAAAATCCAAAGCTCATATGGTGTCAAGCAAAAGGCAATCATCTTTAAAATCCCAATCACAACTGGCTTCACCTTTTGGGACTGTTAACTTAGGTGATTTTTAAATGCAAACGTTGTATTATGTGGATTTTATGTGTGAACTTTTAACATTTTCAGTTGAATTAATGACTCAGGCCAACCATTTTGACTTAACCAACTCTTGTTATTCAGTTGTTATCACTTATTAGGCATGCATTTGACTATCGCAACACGGAAATTACAATCGCAACGAGAGAATCGCAATGCGAAATGAAATCCCAACATGAAAATCGCAATGCGGAAATGAAAATCGCAATGCGAAATGAAAATCGCAACGAGAGAATCGCAATGCGGAAATGAAAATCGCAATGCGAAATGAAAATCGCAACGAGAGAATCACAATGCGGAAATGAAAATCGCATTGCGAAATGAAAATCGCATTGCGATTCTCTCGTTGCGATTTTCATTTCCACATTGCGATTTTCATTTCGCATTGCGATTCTCTCGTTGCGATTTTCATTTCGCATTGCGATTTTCATTTCCGCATTGCGATAGTCATTTTTGCCTTCAACATAATGCAGATTGAAATCAACAAAATCAACCATTACATTTCAATCAATTAAACAAGCACAAATAAGAATTATGTTCGCATCAATTAAACAAATCAACTTTTACAAATCATCTTTTACAAATCAATTAAACAATCAAAAAATAAGCAATA